ACCTGAATTTGATTGAATTCAAAAGAACAACAATGGACTGCGACTTGTGAACTTTGATACAATAAAGTCTAAATGAATTCAAACTTAAATAAATTATAAGAATTTGAATTGAAGAGAGACTCAGAACTTGAATCAAATAAACATGATCTTGGATACTTGAACTCAAGCAAGAGCTTGGACTTACAACAAATGACTTAGGTGAACTTAAACAAAAAGATTGCTAGAACTTGAAACTTGTACTTTGGACATAAATTTGAACTAAAGGAGCATGAACTTAAATCAAACTTGAATGAGCAAAAGATTTGAATCAAGTCTTATCAAGAAGAACTGAGCTTGCACATTGGCTTATGAACTTGATTTGATCTTTAAATGAGAAAGTCAAGGACTTGGATCAATGTTGGACTACACAAGACTTGGATTTGTTTAGACCATATAGAACCTGATTTGAACACAAGCAAAAAAAGAAGCTTGCAAGCTTGAATACGACGAAGAATTGGATTTGAATGGCACTTTAAATTGATAAAATCATGATCTAAGTGAAGATGTCAAAGGTCATGAATATTCAAATACATCTAAAAGAACATCTTATGAATAGTATAAAGATGATGATGATTGATGCGTATGTCAATCATGTGGACAAATACGATCATCCTCTTGCAAATAAAGGAAGTTGATATATATAGTGGTGGGATGTGCAACATGTTTATGATTAACATGATGAATGCAATAACAAACAGTACCACTATACGGAAAAATAAATGGAATCTCATAAGTGGTGAATTGAAAGTTCACTTATGGATGACACATGATCAATAACATGTTCAATGAACTGTTTACAGGAGAGTAAAGAGAAGCATGTGATGATCATGATGTTTTGTTGACAAGCATGTACAAAGGACAGGGCAGGATCATAAGCAAAGTAAGGAAGGCATAGGAGTAGTCTCTCTACTATCAAGGTAGACTAATATACAACAGAGTATATAAAAGTCTACCTCCAAACAATAAGGATAGATATGCTATAGGACTATAGCAAATGCAAGTCCAATAAACATACAGTACCGGGTGAATAAATTGGTCTTCTATTGATAAGAGCAGACGATATGCGACAAATGAAAACACCTACAAACCCTTATGAAAGATCTAGCAAATATCCAATACGTTGATTCCTTGCAAGCGAGAGGTGGCTGAGCTTCTTCGAGTGCAAGCATTTTTGATTTGTTGGAGAAACGTCTGCCATACAAGCACTATTCTATTTACAAGCAAACACAAGAAGAATTGTAATGAAGGAAACCCGTCGCATACAAGCAAAGACATCTATAAACAGACATAGGAGAAATTTCTTTCATATAGAAGTCTGAAGAGTGAAGTGTATTAAGGATGAAGATCAAAAAATACTTTTCTTAGAAGATGTTATTCAACAAAGGTGGATGAGATATTTTGCTAAACTTTTTAATGAAGAGTGTGAAAATAAGATTGACTATAGTGACCTTAGCACCCTAAATGAAAGTAAAGATTTCTGTTTTTATCGGCGTATTAGTAAAACTGAAGTTAGAGAGGCTTTAAATAGAATGAAGGGTGGAAAAGCTGTTGTACCTGATGATATTCCAATAGAGGTGTGGAAATGCTTAGGAGATGAAGGGATTTCTTGGCTTACTAAACTTTTTAATACTATTTTGAAGACTAAAAAGATGCCAGATGAGTGGAGAATGAGTGTATTAATTCCTATTTTTAAGAATAAAGACGATGCACAGGATTGCACGAATTATAGAGGTATTAAGTTAATGTGTCATACTTTAAAATTATGGGAGCGAGTTATGGAGCATAGGTTGC